AAGCAAATCCTATAATTATGGACAACTCTTTTATTTATAAACAAGGCCAAGTAAATACCAGTGATCTCATAGTTTCTCAATCAAACAAGGTCTTAGTCTAAGCCACACGAGCCGATATAGCCTCCTATTCTGCATATATATTTTTTATCTTTATTAACCATATATATATAATAATATTCTTCAAAAAGATATATCAAGAAATTATAAATCCAATAATATGATTTCAAGAATATATATATATCTATATATTCGTATTTCCGAAAATAAGAGACCTTGATATACGAATTAGATCCTTGTTATAAAGACCCGTATTTTCTTATTTTCCTATATATATATATATATATATATATTCTTTTTTTCTAAATCCCAGACATAAGGACAGAATTTGCGCCCGCAGAGCTTTGGACTCATATCGATATAAACCGCTCACTCACGCTAGATTAACATGCATTTCGACTTAATTAGTATGCTTATCTATCTTGCGCCCGCCCTTGTGCGAGGTCGCAGGCGTGCGCAGCAAAACTTAATGCCGGCGCGACTCTTCCTACACGAGGCGGATGTTTCGAACGGCATCCAGAGATACATATATATATATATACATATATATATATATATTTCTACATATATATATATACATACATATATATATGTATATATATATATATATTGGTATAGTACATTACATAGGCATACATGCATGCATACATACATGCACATAGGTAGCATACACGGCAAGATGTGCAAAAAACGAATGACATGCAGATGCGCACAAAAAGAGACAAAAACGTGCTGCATCGACGACCTTTCTCCAACCGCCTCACTTTCGGGGTGCCGGCTGCATTGCAGAAGAAGGCACGACCTGCACCAATTCGTACTTTTTACGATGAAAGAATTCTTGGTCTGCAATGCTGGAGGGCAGGGAGATGACTACGGTTTTGATGTCTTTCAGAGTTCCGCGCTGCCAGGACAAAGCAGGACAAACTGGCAAGTGGTGCTCGTGGTAGTCGTAGTAGTTGCAGCAACCCTGCTTCGATTTTTCGCAGCGATTTCATTGCCTGCGACAACAACTGTTACAGCTTCACCATGCAAACAGGACGTACAGAGGTGTTTGAAACATCTCCGACGAAATTTTAAACATGCAGGGCTACGAAAAGGCTGAAAACAGTGAGGACCCAGGCTTCATAAGAGACTGTGTTTTCAAGTGAATCTACCCGTAGTGCGTGGGATGCTGTGGCCGCTGCAGCCCTGCCTTTTCAAGTTCCTGCAACGCCAGAAACTTCATTTAATGGTCAGAGCGAGAAGCAATTGCGCGGCTGACATATCCAAGGCATAATACCCTTGCTCTGTGTTTCGGAACATGGTTTTTCGTGCACAAATCTGATGGCTAAGTGGCTCAACACGGGAGGATACGCTGAGGGCTGCTATAAACAGCCACTGAGTTGACATGAAGCCTTTCGATTCTGTGAAAGCGATACTGTTCTGTGACATTTAGTTTCGGGGCGGTTCGCAACCCAACTCCAAAATCGTGTAACCACTGATGCGTTCAAGGCCGCCTGCCCGCTTGTGAGAGGTTTCGAACTCCAACCCCTGCAGGACTTCTTGCAGACAGCATTTGGCCTAACGAGGTTTCTAGAACCGAAAAACGCCCGCAACAAAAATAGTCGCAAGCCTTAGTTGCAACGGAGAAGCAATGTGCCGCTGTAGCCAGGCAAAACTGACCTCGTCTAAGGTCAGCACCTGCAGCTTCGAAGATGTGTGGGAGCGTATCCATCTCACTCCCTTCCTACTGGCACCCCCAGCATGGAATATCCTTCAATCAAACTGAGTTTCACAAGCCAACACTTCTTTCAAAAGGGCAAAGCTACTTTGCAAAGGAGACTGCTACCAGTAAGAAATGAACCCGCTGAGGTTTCGAGGAGTCTAGACTCTAGACTCGGCGTGTATTGATACTTGGCGGATTCTTGATTGGTTGCTTGGTTGCTTGGTTGGTTTGTTGTTGTTGCTGCTGCTGGTGTTGTTGTTGTAGTTGTTGCTGTTGTTGACTGTTGTTGTGGTTGTGGGTGATATTGTTGTGGTGGCTGTCGATGTCGTTGCGGTCGCGGTCACTGTCGAGTGGCTGTTACTGTTGTGGTTCTGTTGCTGTTGGTGTGGTTGTTGTTGCCGCAGGAGCGTCTGATTGAGAAAACCGCATGCTGTTCTTGTTGTTCTTATTCCTATTGTTATTGCTGTTACTACTGTTATTGTTATTGTTGTCCTCATGGCTATGGTTATGTTGTGTGGTTGTGGTTATGGTTGTGGTGGTTGTTGTGCTTGTCGTCATCGTTGTCGCCTGTCCAAACCGAAAGCTCACACTCTGAAGGAGAAGGACTTAGGTCGGGAAGGGGGTTCGGCAGAGGAACAACATTTCTCCAACAAGAACCCACCCCTCATGTTGAACGTTCTTGGGCCTAGGGGGCAGTCTTAGTCTTCCGAGGCGGGCGAGAGGAAGTCGATTTACTATTCAGCGCAATGAAGTGCGTGACCAATCCTCGGTCAAACTGAATGCCTCCTCGAGCCAGCGATGCCAGTTCGTCGCCATGGCAAGGTCACTGCCCAACCAAGCCTCACTATTGCACGCAATAGACCCTCCGTCAAGAAGGGCAACATAAGCCTTGAATCATAATCGTGCACCCAATGGCCAACCAAAACACTGCCCCCGAATCCTCGACCCTAGAACCAAAGCCGGATCTATCGAGGCCTTGATGTGGATACTGTGCGTATGCGGTATTGGTAGGTACGATGTTAGGACTGAATGTAAGTGCGAGTGTAATGTGTTCATAGTTTGGGGGCCGCAATTCCAGCGTGCTGGTCGAACTATGTCGGCTACCTCGAGGCATGCCTTGCCCTGCGCGGGGGTGTATGGGGTTGTCGCCAGTGACCGTTCCCCGGTTATGCTGACAGTAGTCACTACTCTGGGCCACTTAGACTACTGCCTTTTGCACATCAAGTAGGAAAAACGTCGCAGCAAGATCTTCTCCACTTTGGGGGTGTCTGGGTCGTGGTAAGCTCCGTACGCGGAGCCAAACATCAAAAGTCCCAACCAGGCCTCCTTGGAGCTGGAGCTGTCCTCGCGAGCCTGCCACAGAAAGTCATGAAGTCACAGGCCCGGCGCGGACTTCAGACCCCTGAAATGATTGTACGTGGTTTTGAAAGGATGCCCCTGCGCTCCCCCCGGCAACTCGGTGATGAGCCCTTCCTTCCGTTGGGACCCTGCGAGGAGTGCAGCCTTCAGCAAAGGATCTCGCCACTTATCACGGCAGGGGCTTCAACGTGTCGGGATGACACCAGGACTTCGGAGGGCATTGTCGCATCAACATGAAATACCGTAGGCACCCTACCTCAGCTTCCGCAAGCGCCGCCCGAAGTCGCTTCTGCTCGGCCTGTGAACCAGAACTTGCCAGAAACATGGAACATATCTTCGCCAGCTTTGATCCTGAGTCTCGTCCCACCAGTCGATGCTGACCACTGGGGGAAAGGGTTTATATATATTGCTTGAATTGGGCCTTCGTTTATTACAAAATACCATTCTCACAAGGTGGGTGTGAAACCTCCAACCCTCCCGAAAAACTCCAAGGCCTGTTTAGGCTTTAGGGACGAGGGTCTAGCGACTGCGGGGACTCGGGTTTGGATTGAAGGATTAGATAGGATTAGGGTTCTTCGTTTGAGTTTAATTTGATAAGGCTGTCGTCACACCTGTTTCACTTGAAGAAATCCGTGCTGTAATCTTTTCGCCGCATGGACTTGGCATATGACATAGCAACAAGACGAAAAACATCACCCACACACACACACACAAACACACACACACACACACACACACACACACACACACACAAACCACACACACACACACACACACACACACACACACACAAACCACACACACACACACACACACACACACAAACACACACACACACACAACACACACACACACACACACACACACAAACACACACACACACACACACACACACACACACACACACACACACACACACACACACACACACACACACACACAACACACACACACACACACACACACACACACACACACACACACACACACACACACACACACACACACACACACACACACACACACACACACACACACACACACACACACACACACACACACACACACACACACACACACACACACACACACACACACACACACGAGCTCACTCCTCATGACGTCGACGAACGGAAGTACCACAGCCAGCCAGTACCACCATCACGATCAGGGAAAGGGAGACAAATCCAAAAACAACACCACAAAGCGAACAAAAAAACAAAAAGAAGCTGGCCACACTAGCCACATGCGAGTGGGTTGAGGCTTTGCCATGCCTGTCGCCCAAGTGGAGCTTCAAGTGCAAAAGCATAAAAGCATCTCGTATCGAAATGAACGAGCCTTTTGCTGCAACATCATAGTAAGCCGGGCTTTGGTTTCAAGGCTGCTGGGTTCTGGAAGGTGGGCTCATGATCAAGTAGACGCTGCGGCCGCAAACCCAACTACATGTTTTAAGCCCTCAAGGCCCTGATTGATTGTACAACTGCCAACACTACCTCCTACCACCACGACAACGACTACGACTACGACCACGACTGCTACTACTACTCCTGCTGCTGCTACTATTACTACTACTACGACGACGGCGGACTACGGTGAGTCTTACAGTACTTTACGGTCTGGGTCGTGGGCTGTTGGAGAGGTCGGTGACTCGTTGCCCAGCAACACGGGCAGCTCACTCGACGCCTGCGCTGCGGCCTGGTCACTGTAATGCTTGTTTGGACTTTGGTTTCTGCTAGGGCTTCGGCCTACTATAAATGTTCTTACAATGGATTGCTACATAAGGGTTCTATGCAGGTGACTGCAAGGGTTGCTGTAGCTATATGGGTGGTTACTGTAAACATTTGTGAGACTTCGGTTCAGGGGTTTGAATTTAGTGTTTTAAAGCTTCAGGGTCTTCGCTTGTACGGGTTCAGGGCTCGGTTGAAAGTCGAGGGCTTGCGGTTGTGCTTGGGCTTCGGGGCTTCGAGGATTTTAGTGTTATGTTTGAAATGGATTTTGGGCTTAGGGCTCTGGGCATGTAATTTAGTATCTTTCGCCGACTGAGCTCCTTCAATAACACCCTCTTCAAACTTATGAAGTTCCTATGAAACCCTTGATAAGAACCATGTTCCTCAACCCCGAGCCCTGACTTGAAAGTCGCTATCGTGATGCAGCCACCACAACCTTAAATTCAGAACCAGGGTGTATAGTTTAAGGCTCTATGGGTTTAGGGTATGGAGGAGAGGCTCCAAAATCCCTGAATTTAGGGATGATATTGCTTAAGCCATGATAGGGTTACTAAGGAACTCTGACTCACATGACAGCTCGGCCCTCTATTCTCAGCCCAGACAAGCTCAGCCCACAAGCGCTGCATCCTGCATCCTGTCCTAACGGGTTCCTGTATGGATTAAACTTACGGCTTCCTTTAATTTTGAAAAGTCTACATAACCCTCAACCTCAAGCCCTTACTCAACCCTTAACCCTAATAATTCATTTGACTTGGGTTTGGAGGGAGTTTTAAACTGTAAATACATTCGGAAGCCCGACCTGCCGATTCTTCAGCCCCCCACATCACAACCAAAGGGACCATCACCCCTGAACCATCGAAAGAAGCCCAATTCCAAGTATCAAGCCGCCTTTGTGAAAACTGTTCCATTTCCTCCACTTCTAAACCCTGACACAAACCCTGACACTGAGCCCTACATCCGCGATCGGCCCTGGGGTAACCACGGCTGTTGTTGAAAAATGGTTTCCTTTCGGGAAACCAAATCAAAAATTGAATACTCTCAGAAACCTTATAGTAACTTGTCATGTTAAGTAGCACTGTGAACATAACACGAGAACACCCTAAACTCTAGTGCCCCAAGGTCACGGCAGACATTAGCTGAGAGGAGCGGGCCTTGGCCCAGAAATGCTTTTTGTTAAGGGTCTAGCATGTCAGGTCCAGGGCTTGAGGCTCTTTTCAGGCAGCTGCTTTCTTGTGGGAGGGGGAGAGAACAATTATGTGGAATGAGGAACACTTTGATTGGCTCTTTCGGACGACGGTTCGCGGATCATGCCCCAAATCTTAGAACCCCGGAAGTAACTACTGGAGCACGGTCGCACCGAGTGAGGACTCCATCAAGGACCCGACCTACCCTCATACATAAACACAGCAGTTAGCGGAAAGGTGCACCCGCCTCGTGGATTGGCTTCTCCCTCCGATCCGACTCTGTGGTCTCATCCGCACCTGACGCTGCGGTTCAATTCAAATGATAGAAGCAGAGCTCCCGAAAGAGCTTCGTTTCCATCCTTTTCTTTCTTGGGTTTAGGTTTAGGTGCAGTGCAGCCTACCGACTCCAAGAGGAAGTGGAGAGTGAGTGCAGGTGCTGTGCTAAACTATGTGGATCGAAGTCACTTGGGGATCACCGGCCAGAGTGCCCTTCAACGGAATCAGCATCACTCAAGTGCAAGAGCACCTTTCGGGCCAGGGGCCCTTTTCTTCATCTTCCCACCTGCCGCAAAGAACTTCGCCGTTTCTCTTTGAGGGTTTGGGAGTTGGAAGTTGCTTGCATGGTTCTGGCTGTCCAGGGAACCGGAAGCCTGGCAAAATAATCGACGTTGGGGTAAGGTCCTTACAAGGTAGGTCGAACCTATCCGACCCAAATCGATAGTTGTGGTGTGAAAAAGATTTTATGCCAATGGCATACATATGCAAATCCTGCAGCATTCGGCTTCAGGCAGCGAATTCCGACAGGATTGCTCCTAAGATGTCGACGCACCAAGCGCAGCAGCTGCTTCAGTTCTACCAACGTCAAGCAAAACGACCTGCTTCTCCCAACAGCAACACGAGAGGAATCCCGCGGCGGCGAATGCGAAAGCCTAGTTATGTAGATGATGTAGCTTGGGGTTCCCGTTTTGGGGCTTCATGGCGCGCGGAAGCGCATGAACTGCTGCCCGTGCCTTCGTTCGCCCTCGATGCCTCGTCTGCTTGACGGTCAAGGCTTGTGGCTCGGGTGTACATCTCACAATAAGATCTGGGTTCTTGAAAGCTCCGAAAGCCCAACAAAAGTCCAGAAGCAAATGGTGTGAATCTTCCTTCAAAGAAGACCGCTCGACAAGGGCCGAGCAAAAAGCAGAGACGTTTGCTGGACATGGAAAGAGAAGAACTTCTGACAGAGAGTGCCGGATGTGCCAAGCTTCCGCTGGGGGCTACAGCTCTTTCTAAGGGCCAGGCCTTCCTTTTTGGCTTCAGCACGCCGCCACCAGCGTCAGGCTCCGCAGGAGGCATGACAGTGCTGAGGTTGGAAATCGTGTGCAACTACTCACGCAAACGTGAGCTTCGAGCCGCAACTAGGGTGGCAATGAAGGGTCAAAACTCACGCATAGCACCTGGCAGAAGGTACAAAGAAGAGCGCAAACTGCAGGCTCGTCTGCAACAGTTTCGTGGGACGGCCAAGACATGGTCTTTCTGGAAGGCTGTATCTCTGAGCCCATCAGCCAAATGGTTCTCCCAAAGACCCTGGTTCAGGATGTTTCACTCTGCAGACAATGTCACCAAGCGCTGGCGGCTCTCGGCTCACGGCGTGATCAGAGTGATGCTGGTCCCGGTCACTATGAAAGCGGAGACTCGATGAAAGTGAGATGGTACAGGGCCGCTGGGGGGGCTACCCCACTAAACGAAAGACAAGTCGCTACTTCGGAAAGAAGAAGGGTCAATTGATGTTGATGTATTATTCTTGGAAGTCCCAGGACCGGGCCCTCCGTGATGTATTCATAACATATGCCTGCTTCTTCAGCGCCATTCTGGAGTTTTTCTGGCTGCTGTTCAGCGCCATTCATGTCATGGTAGTTGTACATGGGCAGGTTACATATTACAGATGCAGAGGGGAATGTGTGAGGGGAGTATCCCATCGAACGCTAAAGCCTTTATTGTTAATGCCAACATAGAGCCCTCAAACTACATAGGATCCATACAGGAATACCTACCTCTAGACTCTAGTCGATCCTAGGCACACGGGCCCTTTGACAGTGCCCGTATGCGGAAATGCGCCCTGTCACAGTGCCCATTTCCCTACCTCTAGCCACTTCTAGGCACACGAGCCCTTTCATTTCATAATGCCCGTGTGCGGAAATGGGCCCTGTCACAGTGCCCATTTCCAGCTTATCGTTTCTATATTCTATGGCGATGCCCTCTCACAGTGCCGATCGCTTGACCTTCAGGTCTTTCAGCCAAAGTCTCATTTCAGGCTTCAGGAAACTCTAGGGCTTTAGGAGTTTATAGCTACAGGGTTTTGAGGATTTTGGGGTTTAGGGTTCAAGGCTTTGGAGCTTTGGGTTGTAGTGTAGATTTAGGTTGTGTTAACGGGCGGGTCTTCTTGCGTTCACACGCACCCTGATTAGATTTACAGTGATGTGCACCCCAGACTTCGATAGCGGCTCGATGTGCCTAGCATTGCCTAGCCCTACCTGAGGAAGCACAGGCTGACGTCAACAACAAGCGAGAAGACAAGGTGTCGCAGGCCAGGAGTGGGGTTCGCCTCCTATGATACGGAAGTTAAGCGAAAGGTTTTGGTACCAGACCTGAAGCCAAAACCTCAACAGTGGGCTTAAGAAGAGTAAATCTCCAAGGGATGTGTAAGGTTGAGGACTTTCAGATCCATGGAAGATTAGTTTTGTCTAAGTCCAATCCCAAAATAAGAATCTGAAGGAGCATATGCTGCGAGAACTGTTCAATAGGGACCAAGTAAGAATCTGAATCGGCTTGCAGCCGCACACCCACATGTCCGGGCAAGGGTGAAAGCCAGACTCTAATCAGACATGCTTACTACCAGTTGCCCGACAAGACGAACCCCTTTCTCAAACCCCACATCCACACCTGCAGCTTTCGGCCCAAGTCACAGAGGGCGCTGCCGGTGGATGTTCGGCTACGCGGCAAGAATTCAACCCCGCTTAGTGTTGTAGTAGGGAATCATGGTTTAGGGTTTAGGATATCAAGTATAACAACCAAATCTCCCCACGAAACGGTTAAACATGTAAAAGATAAGCAAAAGTGGGACGCGGAACTGCATGACAAGCGGAGCCAAACTTCCACCATGCATGTGCATGTGCGGACATCAGCCGGGCATGAAATCATCCTTTTCCGGTAGTCTCGACAAAAGTCCTCTGCTGCAAAGTCTGTGATGCACAGAAGCGCTTTGAGGAAGTCTTTTGGAGCCACCCGCGCGATTGAATCAAGTGAAGACATCATCGACCTTTGGCTGCGCTTCAGCCTCGGTTACCAGTGTGCAGTTTGGGTTAGTAAGAGGGTGCCTTTCTCTTCGGTCTGGTTTGTAGCAAAAATCCCGGGCTTTATGGTGTTCGATGTTCGGGTCCATCTTAGTGCCTCAAACTTTTAGGTTTGAAGGCTTCGCTGACAGGCTTGAGCCATAGTCACAAAGTCCAGCTCTCCTTCTGCTATCCTCCAGGAACAACCAAGCAACCATAACTGTTGCGTAGCTTTTCAATGCTCTATCGCAACATGCAGAGGCTTTCCCAAGATCAGTGGACCGACATGGTGTCGTAAGAATCTAGCCGGGCCGCGATTGTTCATGGATCGACTCTTGCTTAGAGTAGGCTTCGGTTTCTCACGGAGGTCCTTACCACGGCCTAAAGAACTCCGCTTCAAGAAACGCTATTCCTGAGGAGCGCGCCAAGACCCGGAGTGCTTCTGATTCTGCTCCTCCGCAGCTCCACAGTCTACAGTACGCAGCTTTTGGGTGCATGCGTGAATATGCATGTACCTATCTATGTCTACATGCGCATGAAGAGGGCTACCCATCCATGCGTGTATCCCTACCTGGTCATCATTCTGCTTCTTTCGTTTCGGCGGCCAGGCATAAGGCGTGGGAAATTGCCCCGTGAAATGTCTCGATGAACGGTCTCCGTCGCGGCGGCACGCATGGAGATTGCGGAGTCCGCTGGTTGACTGCATGCAGTATAGACGCTCTGCATATTTCTGCGTTTCGTCCGCAGATATTCCGATATATCCGGAGTTCCATTGATGAATCTTTGCCAACTGCGTGGCTCCTCTCGGTAGGGGGAGTTGTGCCACAGTCTTGACAACATTGGAAGATGATGGAAGGTTCACCTCACCCCTCATCCTGACGGAGTTCGCGTCCAGCTCTTTGTGTATCCTTCTCACTCAGTCATACACACGCTTGAACTCATTTCCGTCTCTAAATCGTTTGAATGGAAGGAATGTGCTGAAAGTCGTTAAGACTGCCGTCAAGGCGGTAAGCATGGAATTCCTCGTGCAACGTCAAAGTACGTGCTCTGCAAGGAAATCTGTTGTGATGGGGCGTTTACAGATGCATGCGCATGCAAGCATCGACACGGGTACTGTGCCGGTGTGTGCAAGTATGTTAGAATATTCCATCGCGCAAAGGCAGGTCAAGCTCTGCATGTGCAGATACGCTGGGCCTGTCTGTCGAGGCTATCTGCTACAGTGCTATGGCTGCCATGGCTTTCTCAAATGCGTATGTATCACCCCATTGACCTCCACCCATGGGGCAGGCCTGTCTCGGCATCTTCATCGGAGGCATGATCCTGCATGAGCAGTGTATTCTTGGAGAGTAGTCTGATGATGCGCTGCAAAGAAGCAAGCAAACGGTCTAGAGTCTAGAGTCCTCTGGCGCAGACGATGGTGTCATCTCTCCCATCTGGCCTTGGGCCAGTCCAGGCAGTTTGCAGACTCGCGCGCACCGCCACAGGACTGTCGAGACGACGCCCTTGCAGCCTGAAGCCTCAGGGAGAGGCGGCCTTCCGACGTGAAGTCTGCCTGCGATTCTGCCGAGGCTCTGCGCGCAGTTCCGGCGCGAAACACAATGGGAGGAAGCACCACAGAGGCCACAGGCACTCATGGAGACCATAAACGAACAACAAGTCTCCATGCCGTGGGCCTGCACGCCCAGAGCAACAGCCTCGAAGTCGTCCTCTGGTGAGGACCAGGCCTCTGTCGACCTCGGGGACAGGGCTCTGCGGCTGAGCTCAGCCATCCCATCTCCAGCTCCGGGCTTAGGAGCTGCGCAGGGGGGTGCCTGATCAACAGATTTTCAAATCTCTCCCTCTTTTCAAAACGTCTTCAAGTGATCTCTCAACTGCCATCGCGCCTCGAGCACAGCCAAGTTGAGTTCGCCCGGGCCCGGCGCCGTGCCCTGGGGCGTTGCCACCTAGCCAAGTCGTGGTTAACTTGGCCCCTGCAGCCCCGGCCAGCCCCCCCCATGGCGCAACTCCGCCTCGTAAGCCGACAAGAGCAGCTGGCCGTACAGTTGGACCTTCACTGCTCTGGGACTCTGGGACAGCAAGCAGACGTCTGGGTGGCTCGGCAACTCGCTTGGTCTCTGAGCACTGTGCCGTCTGCTGGCCGAGGAAGGCATGGCTCTTGCGGAGGGTGCTGGTGACCGAACTCCTGCTTGGATCAAAGTGGGGGGAGTCTTCAGCGATTGTGAACTTCAGCGCATCAAAAGAAGCCTGAATCCGAATGCTCTTCCGTTGGGATGTACGGATCTCGAGTCTGGCTGCCGGTTCCTTCTTCGCCGTGTTCATAGCATGGTCTCCGCGCCGTGTCTCTTCGCATATGATGCGCATCATCGCATCCGATGCTGTCCCCACCAACGCATTCCCCACGATTCTCCGCTGTGGCTGGTGCTTCGCTGCGCTTCTCCGAAGGCCTGTCAGCACTTGCTTCCACCCAGGCCGCTGTTGGGGGATGTCCCTGTCGTGCGTGAATCTTTTTGCCGTGTCGTCCGCTCGCCACTGGTATGGGGCTGGGGGGAGTAGTCCCAGACGACCATCAGGGCACAGCATGGCACTTGATCCAAACCTCCTACGAGTTGGCACTCAAGTGGCTCCGACGCGTACAAATGGATCGGCTGCTCAAACAATCCCGCAATATCCCGCACTTCACCATACCCAGGTACACCTCGGTCTCAGCTCGCAGTGGTCTTCTCTTTTAAGACATTGCGCAGACATCCCCGGCCTGCCCTGCTCAAAGCTGATGCCGAAGGCCATCATGTATCCCACGAAGCGCCTTGCGCTGCCCCAGGCGCTTGGCACTCCATGGGGATGAGGGATGGCTGAGGCAATTGGGGCTGTCCTGGCAACTGTAGAAGTTACACACATTTGCAGCTCGGTCCACGGAAATGCCGTGACACAGGTTTAGCACTTGTATGGCATCTCTTGCATCCCAGGTTCTGCAGGAAGCTCGTCATCCTGAGATGCCACTCTCACAGCTCAATTCGGCAAGGCCTCCCACTCACTGCACATCACCAAGACCAAACGCAACTCGAGGAGCGCGGGCTTGCTAAACTGGCTGCCTCTGACAGACATACAGCATACAGCGGCCACCGTCGGCCATAGCCTTCAAAGCTCTCCAGCACGCCTGCTGGCACAGATCGCCGCCAAACAGCTTCCGCAGCGTAAGCCTGCAGGCGTCTGCACGACTGAAGGCGAACCCAACTGAATGAAGAGGGGCCTCGCACAAGGACAGCAGCAAGACTTCCTCCCAAAAGGTCACCTCAGTCGAGTTCGAGCTCCGATATCTGCTCCCCTTTTGTGCCCTCGGCATTCTCTCTCATGGACATGTGTTATTATGCGATTCTGCTAAGGCGGGATATGCCACTGAAGGAGTGAAGCTTGACACCCGCCTTGTTCCACAGCGCGTGGTTGTAAACACGGGAAAGCAGGGACACCTCTCGCAAGCATGGCGCAGACTGCAAGACTACCGAGTTCAGCAGCCGTTTCTTCTGAGCTCCCCGCCTGCTTGCCGTCCTCATCGTCAGTTCTATACAACTGGGCCAACACCTGAATGGTATGCTCGGATGGAGCAAGTGTGCGAGATATGCGATCTATTCTCAGCAACCCGCCATCAAGTCGCGACCGCACCTTCCAGTGAAAGTGCAGCGCAGACATGCATAGAGAGAAGAAGAGCCAGCAAAAAGTCTCTAGGGACACAGAGTGGCGCGCGATTCAGGTGCAACATGGTGCAAAGTTCAACCCTCCGTTCGGATGCTCAGGCAACAGCCACGCATCACTCTGCTCATCCGAAGAGTCCAGCGCAGCTTTGAAGCACACTGCAAGCGCCTGGACACAACTTGCAATCCGTGCTCTCTTGCGTTGCACTTTAGGCGGCATGTGCTGGGTCATGGCCTCGAACGCTCGAGGGCTGAGATTCTTCCCGGCTGCGCCTCTGACACAACCCAACTTCGCACACCATGAGCAAAACGTTGCCCTTATTCTCCTTCTCCAAAACTTCCCGATTCACACCTTGTTTGCCCCAGGTGCTTACGGCTGCAGGCTCGAACTTGATTGAACCTGCTGATCGTTCCTGTAACTATATATAGGCTATGGGGTGCAGCGGCCTCGCACGGCTTAGCAGCTAAGCACTCGGCCGTCCAGTTCTGTGCCCTGCGGGTCGTCTCGCATGACTGCAGTGCGGAGGACCTGAAAACAGTTCTCAACGGCGACGCTGCGGAACTACCCTTTTCATGCTCAGCTCCTTCAAAGCTCTCAATGCGTGGAGGGCAGGAAGCCGGCGGTCCGAAATCGCAGTGCCCACCAAAGGCCTTGCCTGGCAAAAGGCGGCCCGCGGCCGCCACTCAGTGACGCGCCGGCTGAGGCTTTCAGCCTCAGAGCTGATCCGAAAAGCTCGGGCAGCCCTGTCCCGAGGTTCGACTGGATACTATTTTAGAGCCTGTCTAGATTCTAGAGTGTGCCATTCGCTCCGACAATTCGCGGCGGTCGTTGGAGGGCTCTGACCATCCCGAACTCGGAACATGACCGGCAAAATTGTCCGTAATATTTGGGGTTTACAGACCTGGTCCAAAGCACAGTGTCAGGCCTGTAGTTACAGGGGGGAGAAGGCCCAAGGACCAAAGAGACAAGAGCTGCGCTATTTATTGTTGACAGATGCTTCCCAGAATGCCACTCGAGTCTACTTTAAGGCCAAGAGCTCTGCTTGCTTCGACGTGCTTGTCGCAGTGTGCAGCTAGAAAGGCATCCGTCTTCCATGTGCACATTGCATTTTCGAGCATGCGCCTTCCAAAAAATTACACCGAGTTCAGAATGGATCTGCTACCCCGGCACCTTTGGGCTCACGGTGGAGCACGAGCGGTCCACACAAAAGAAGTCACCACTAGGTCTTTTACCAGTGGCTGCGTAGTGGCACCTAGTCTCGCCAATGCTTGCATCACCTCTCCCAGTGGGCTGTCCAGATATTGGTGGCGAGAAAACTCGAAAGTGGTAATTCTGGAAAATCAAGACCAGCTTTGCTCGAGCTGCTGGGGGGTGCTTGCCGCTGGTGGGCGGCCGACGGGGTACGGTTCCTTTTGCATAGGCGGCATAGTGATCTGTGATGTCTTTAATGCTGTTCGCTCTATCTGACAGGACTGCAGGTCAACAATCGTGGTTTAGGCTGTAGCTGTGAGCCGTGTTTTTGACTCGCGTCCCAACTTGAGTCTCCACATGGCTGCGAACCGCAGTTCTTCCGCTCCTCGACTTCAACGCATATCACAACCGACCAGCCCCTCAAACTCCTGAAGCCTGTGACGAAAATCCCAACATAAATGTTAGACCCCGAAAACTGCAAGTGTCCTCCGACTTTCTCAGGCGAGCCGCTTAGATGGTGTGTAGGACTGTAAGCTCGCAATCCGAGCATGCTGGTCAGGCAAGCTGGGAAAGGAATAGCAATGAATAGCGCCCAGATACCTATATCATGCGCACACTCCGCGTGGAATCTGGTGAAGCTGACTCTGCAATGCCGTTCCGGAATCCAATTGGGGATGACGTGCCACAGGCGTCTGCGCTGCTCTTGGAACTTGGGCCGCAACCTGCTCCCCTTCAGGTCCTCCCAGTGCTTCATGGCTGCTGTTCTACGGTTGACAGATAACCCGATCGGAAACACGGCGGGACAAGAGTCCTTCCAGCATCGAAGATATCACAGGACTCATTTCGTCCATCAGCTGTCGAATGTGCTGCTGGACCTGCTTGTAGCAGTCTGACAACAATAGCTCCGACGACGTACCCGTTTGTGACAGCACAGCAGGGCCTGCGCAAGCTGCTGCAGTTCAGGTGTCACCTTGCGCCTAAGTTCGTATTCCGTGCCTCCATCATCAGACATGTTGCTGGCTTCAGAAACAGGACTGGAAGCACAGAGAACAAGGTGGGCCAGTGCCCGAGCGAACCTGCGTGCCAATAGCCAAGTGCCAGGCGGTTCGCGGGCTTTGCCGAGCTGGAAAAAAGGCAAGGCCTCTAGTAGTAGCGTGCACATGTCGTTTCGGCTTCACTAAACATATTGGGGAAACTATTTTTCCCAATATGTTCAGGGGGAAGACATATTATGCCCTCCACATCTCTTGATGTCAAAAGATCGCTGACTCTGGCGGCGAGGCCGAGACCACAAGAGCGCTTGCGGACGGTCCAGCACCGACCTCGCGGGGTGCAGGATCAACCGTGGATCACTGCCGCCACGAATAGGACGGCAAGCCACTTCCTTCACCGCGGACTCAATGAAGTCCTGCAGCTCTTTGACCTGAAGGATCTGGTAGCTGGAAGGCCTTGAAGGCAAAGGTTGAAGCCGAGGCCCTGGCCGCATCGAAGTCTTCGGCAGCCTACCAAGGCAAAGCCAATTCCAATGTCAAAGCCACTGCCATGAATTCGGAAGCGATAGCCAACTACCACTGCAGCATGCGCCGGAGGCCGTCCTTTGCAGCCCCTTCGAGGTCGTACCTGGCGCCGCTACCCGGAAATGCACAACACCTTAAGTCGTGGCGGAAGAGTCCGGAACGTTAGTCCTGTAACACCTGGCAGAACACTGGACGATAACCATCTTGCGAATTCCTGTGGGTTCTTCCCTCGGACGACCTCTGGCCCTCCTGCATCCTCGGACCTTCGACCTCCGGCCACATCTTGAGAAGCTCATACTTGTCTAGGCTGGAAGTTTGTGCAACTTGCTAGCCAGAAATCCCCACATTCCGTTGAAGTTTGGGCACTGCATGTTCCGCAGCCAGGACGTCTCGTAGACAGCCAATTTTCTCAGGCCGTCTCGAAGGCAACGCCCGCGCCTCAGCTGGGACATTGAAGCGATGCTCTGCGAGGCTCTGCGGCTCTGCAGATCAAGGCGGCAAGCTGCATCAATGTTTTGTCACCGAAGAAGCTTAAATAGCTTACTATGAGGCTCGGTGGATCGAGGGCTTTTCGAGTATGTACAGGCCCGGTGGCACCGCTCTATCCTAGGCCCACAAGACGGCCTAGGTCTTGCCGGGAGCCGGCTAGCAATTCAGACGGCGCAGCCTTTCTGCTCCTTCTCGCCTGTCGAGTCCAGGCGACAGAGGCCGCCGTAGTCGTTGTCGAAAACACATCTCACCTGAGCTCCGAGCTCCGACAACCAAAAGCAGCAACGACGATCCGCTCTAAAGGCTTGGACCCATCTGGATACGTTCTTGCCATTCTCTTTGGAGAAATAGGCCCCATAGCTTGAGTCACAGTCGTCCTCCGCGTCACAGCGCAGAGGCTCGGTTTAGAGCGCTAGCAAAGTCTACAGGCTACAACGCTCATCGTAGTGTGAACGGGAAACCTTTCAGTCCTTCGACAGCGAGTTGCAATTTGCGCCCTCTCCTAGCTTGTTGAGCTTTCGGAATTCTCCACAGCCTCGAGGCACAAAAGACAGACGTTGCCTCGTACGCAGTACACCCTTGGGCCTCGGGGCTCCCCCTGCCTTCAGGCTCGCAGCAGAGGTCTTCAGACTTCGGAAAGCTGGCGATTCCTCGGGGTCTGTTCTTAGGCACAGAACTCTTGCTCTTCAACAGTTACAATAACACGCGGAATCTCCGCTTAGCTTCGGATTGCCGCAGCAATCTTGGGCGGCGAACAAGTCTGCTTGGCGCAGGTCTCCTTGCAGCAGCGAGCGTCGGTTCTTCCTCGGAGCCGCGTGGCGTGGTCACACTCGGCACTATTCTCTAAGACACTTAGACACCTGGATTCCGTACATTGGCATGATGATGACATAACAGCAGGAAGACAAGACTGAATGCCCCATATCGAAGATGATGTTCCAAGCTGGAGCATCTGGAGCTGAGCGAAGCTTGGAACGAGAACCCCTGGCACTCAAGGCAAGGAGCCGAAAACGCCATCGCCGGCGTTTGCCATGCCAGCCTCGAGACGAAACGAGACGCCACGCTTAAAGCCTAAAGTGTAGAAGGAGCTATTACGGTCTCTTCGGGCTTAAGGGCCGATGTCAGAGTGTGAGTTCAGAATTACCTCGCATGACATGACAAGGAGCATCCGCATCACAGGTGTGGAGAGAGCATGGAGGCACGCAGCAGACATCTTTCGAGCTGCTGATCTTGTCCTTTTTTGCCTCGGCCCCAAGGGTCGGTGTCAGCTGGGGTCCCTGACTGAGGGGTCCTTCATGTTAAGGCACCTTCCCCTGTTTTCTGACATTCCTACATGCGCGAAAAAAGTCAGAGTCCATGCCCAAGCGAAGAGCTAGTCAAACGACGGACGAAACCCCGTGAACAAAGAACCGTAAACCCCGAGTGTAAACGCTGAGCCAGCTACCGCATCAGGCTGCCATCCTTTCGGACATTGGAAAGACGCGCACTGCTGTATGCAGCATTTTTCATCCGAAGGGTCCTTGCAGAGCAACTAAGGGAAAAGACTGACCACATTCACTGAGGTGGCCCAAACACGAAAGTGGGGCTGTGTGGCAGTAAAGCTCGTGATTTTGAGCTGGGTTGCAAACTGATCATCCTTGCTCACATCTTTGAGCCAACCAGGTCCACATTCCTTCGCGACAGCCATCTTCGGTTCAGTGCCCTGTGCTCTACATGTGCATAAAATCGGAATTGTGCGAATGCACGAGAGAGTTTAATTTTCCTGCCTTTCTCAAACTCTTGCAGCCTAGAGTCGTGGTGGCGACACTGGGGCTCACAGCAGTCATCTGCCGAAGTGGCTTTCTGGGATTTCTTCTTCTCAGGGATGCTAAAGCCATGAGCAGCATCGCCTCACTTTGACCAGCGAAGCCAAGAATTAAAGATAAGGCACATGTCTCGTTGCACCCGGCCGGTAGGGTTGCCACATTTGAAAAGCTCGCATGACTTGACGCAGCACTGCTCTTTCGTGGTGCCAGGCTTTTCAATCATGGGCTCGTCATAGATGTAGCCAGGATCACATCTCACCTCACATGCAACCGGCCGCACGTCCGAAATTTCACGCCAAGCAGGGAAGTGCCAGCCTGTCCGCAGGTGGGCAAGCAGCACTTCTCGTCCGTGTTTCCGGGCAGCGATGCCGCTTCCGGATTTGGAACCCTGAGCTACGCTGACGTAGTGGTTATACATAATGTAATGCCACATGGCATTAATGAACATCAGCATTAAGGAGCATGAAGCATAGACCAACACATATGTAGCTCATATAATGTAAAAGCAAAAGGTATAGGTTCCAAAGTGCTGGTCTCGTCGTGCCAAGGTTCCATAAGGGACCGCACTTGTGCAGCTCGCAGATATCTTCACAGCATTCCGCCGGAGACGTGCCTCACGGCAAACAGCCGAAGCATCAACGTCCGCTGGCTCTGGAGGATACTGTAAAGGTTAGCATTCGCAGTCACCCGGATCCACATACACCGAGCAGAGTTGCAGAACCGCGGCGTCGCTCTTTATGTTTTCCATCTCTGTTAGGTTCAACTGGACCGGCCTTTCTCACACTCCCGCGCAGGAGGGAGAAACTTAGCTGGTGTACCGCGGAATCGTAGCTGACCCTGTCGCTCTGCATGATTGTCTCGTATCAAGGCTTGCCAGACTACTTGCTTGCTGACGGGTATGGGGACCGGGGTCCCCTGGCCCGGAGGCCTACCCGCTCAACGGCTCGCGTCTGTGAGGTCTGTGTGGCCCCTTCCGGGGGTGGGAGTGTTCAGTTCCCCCGTCTGCGCCTGTGCCAGACTACTCTCGCTCTCACTCTCTCTCGTTCTCTCCTCCGCACGCCACGCTCAAGCACACCGAGATCAGACCCCTCGCAGCCTGCTTTCAAGGGATGGCCGACTGCTTGACTCGCGTTGCACTTGAAGGCGCCTTCAGCCTCCGCAGCTCCACCTTGACCAGGTACGATCGTAGGGCCCCCTACGTGGCCACGTAACCATGTATAACAGGGAGAAGCAGGCAAGCTCGGGCCCTTTTGATTTCGTTTCGGTTTCGAGTTCCTGAACCACATACGCGTATCTACATGGCCATATACTTATATATATATATATATATATGTATTGTATGTGCTTATATGCTTCTATGTAGTTACAGATACGGCAACGTATGTAGATCTCATGCTGGGGGTCAAAGAAGGCCATGATGGAACGTCGATTGCAAATCAAACCCTCAGGATCCGGCACGCTTTGTCGCAGCACTGCGTGTCTGTGAAACCTGCGTTCTACAATGAGGAGGAATCGCTTCGTCTCCGCTGCAGTAGGTTGCATGCTGGTCCCGCCTGTGTTGTGGATGTAGGCTTCATTGGCCACATAGCCAACGCTGCAATTGAACAAACTGCAGGTCTTCTCGCAGCATACCTCTCCAGCTTTCGGAGGAATCTTCGCTTCTGCACTAGTATCCCATTGCGGCCTCTTCATAGCTATACGATCATATACCCAGAGGCCCAGAGGCCCTGTTCTAACTAAGCTGCAACACCCCAAGCAATTACGACACTACTGTCCGAAATTTGGGAACTCGCCGGAGCCTGGTCAGATGCGCCGGGGATCGCCTCAGCTGAAGATCGGGCAACTAAGTCGGAGTTGTTGGGCTTTAGGGGTCTATGGATATCGGGGTGTAGGGTTTAAGATTTAGGGGGTTTAGGGCCGAAGGGTTAATTAAGGGCAATGTAACGCTGTTTGCGTTGGTGGCACGCCCCGCCCAGGCTTTAGCACATAGCCCTTTGAACACGGCCATGCGCTGCACTTTGGCGCAGTGCTGGAAGAGTTCTGCGTACCTGAAGCAGAAGGGCCAATGGTGCTTCACTGCATCGAAGCATGCATCCTAAGCCGCGAACCCTAAATCCCAAAGTCGCTTCACATCATGTGCTCAGCCTTCGAGAGATGCACGAAGGTTCACGGATGTTGCCAGTAGTGGCAACAGCAGGCCATAGCCAAACCTGAGACGGGCTTCTGTCTGCGGGCCGGACCTAGAATGCAAAGCTCTGAAACCACACAATCATAGGACCCTCGCAACCAAACTTGAAACTCCAAAAACCTCACAAACCTAACAACCCCACTACCCCTTCGAACCCGCAAACCCTAACCCCGCGAAGCCCTAAACCAGTCTTGCCGGCAATCTGCTTGGCTCCCATGGCTGATGCCTCTCACCTCAGGTGGGGCCTCTGCCTTGGCTGTCCGAATGAAAGAGTTTTGGGTGGTATCGTAGGGATCTTCAAGTCACAAAGGATACGCTTGGGGTGTTTCGTGCTTGGTAGGCACAGGGGTTTGGAGCATTCATTTTGGTCTAAAGTTTGAGGATTTGGGGTTGGGGGTCGTTCCGGCGGGGCCTCCAGGAAACCAGCACTGTTCAATTTACATTGCGACAAGCGTATGTACTTCTTTCTGCCTCACGGCTTCTGCAAAACAGCCCTACAAGGTGTCTGAGTTGATAGGATGGTCTTGCGACCAAGAGCAGTTTGGAGCGCTGACCTAGTGAAGAACGAACGATATCTATTGAATCTCCTGCACCACAAGCCTGAGCGGGCCGTGCAGGATTCAGCTGTGTGCATCAGAAGGAACCACAGGCTGGCGACATATTGCTGTTTGGGAACATTGAGGGTTGAATGCGCGCTGTGTGGGTATGAAGGTATCTGCACAAATCTGCATACTCTTCATCCGGTGCACTGATTGCTGGCAGACATGTACAACCAAGGATGCATCATGGTACGGTTGACATGCAACGTCTGCATAACCCCGTCTTCTTACTGTCGCTGATGTTGTGATTTATCCAAACATGGCAAAGTTCTAGATTGCTACCGTTGCTACCGTCAAATTCGACAAGCTTCGCAAATTCGTGATGTTACTGTAACAGGACACAGAAGTGCGGCATGGTCGAAACATCATTGCGCAATAACAGTACATAAGTCTTTGCAAAGATTTCGTAGCAAAAACCGCAAGTTCCTCGAGACAAGAACCAGAATTATGGGTGAGAAAGGTTCCTGTGGTAAGTCTCCAAAAAATCACAAGAGTCGCAAGGGCATACTATGAACGCGATAAGTATGTCCGGGAAATCCTGTGACGTTACGGGTGTCCAGCACCCACGCGACAGCTTTGCGAGGGCTCGGCATCTCAAGCAAGACACAACATAACAGGACCACAGGGGGATCAACAGGCCCTCGACTGAAACTTGTAAGAGGGGTCCTCCATCCGAAAGATGGGCGGTCCCGAAGAAGATGGTAACTGGATGATCAAACAACTTGGAAGCAGGGGAACCTGCAATCTCTGCAGTGTCAATGCCACGGAGTTCATGCTTAAGAGTGACTGTGGGGGTACAGCCGGTCCACTGGCTGCAGGGTTCACGGATGGGCAGCGGGTCATGTACACCATTTTTTGTACGGCGACTCCTCCGCGCCGGAAGCTTCTCATCCTGCTCCCCTAAACTCCAAACCTTACACCCTGGCCTTAAAGGCTTCGACACCCAGACCCCAAACCCTCTACTTTCAACCCCAAACCACAAACCCTAGGCCCACAAGATCCCCTTTCAGAATTGCGGACGCAGGTGCATTAGACGAAGCTCGAGAGTCGCACTGGCGTGGAGTGCACTGCTCGAGCCAAGCTTCGGGTGCATTCATTCACATATGGGCTTAAGCCCTTTTGGGGGTTCACGTTTTATGGCTTCGGTTTTGCTGTCGGCCCTTGCAGACGGTCAAGGTTTAAGGCTGTGGGTTGTCTAGCAAGGAAGCGAACGCAGCGTATCTCACGTCAGAAGGCTCAGCATCGCGTCGGCACCGCGACGTGGACTCTCTGACTCTCTCCGGTCTCAGGTCGGGTCTTTTCCTCCATGTCCTGGCAAAGGGTTGGGGGAGTGTTCAAGGTTCATAGTTACTAGTTACTAGCTTTTAGGGATACCAAGATCCATTTCTAAGCCTCACGGCGCTTTCCTTAGCTTCCCCAGGCATCTGCATCCCCACACCCTGACCGAATACCTTGATCCTACTACTGGGAGATGCGCGGCCTGCAAGACTTCCAGGACATGAGACATCTGCTGCTCGTAGAGTCTTTGTGCTCTGTTGGCCTGACCAGGTTTTCAACTTCCAGCCAACGATTCTCTCAACCCTCCCATGCAGAGGAAAATCGTGGCACTGCAGCTTTGTTCACCTTTTTGACATCGAGGCGCGGCTGTCACTGCATCCCGTCTCGTGCTACCGATGCTTTTCAGGGCAACATGGCAACTCAGTCTGCTCCGCAAGCTTGCAAATAGAGATCTTCCCTCCTCTCTCTCCGTCCTAGACTTCGTGAACGGCGTGAAAGCGACGAGGTCCACCTCTGTGTCGTGCACGGATCAGGGAAACACCTCTTCCGCCGTTTTTCGGCCGGCAGCCGACCGCGATGAACATCCGAGCATCCGCGATTGCTGCTGATGTGCTGACAGGAGCTGCGAAGATTCGCACCAGTCTCGGAAGCTGCGGCCGTCCAGGTTCGCCGCAATGTCGCGCAGACGTTACTTCTCCAAGCGGGGCCAGAGCTCTCCTTGCTTTGCCTTGACCAAAGTCAACTCCAGGACGAAGTCCTGACAAGTTGTTTCTCCAATATACACTCGCTAGCACTTTTCAGGAGCCCCATCGACCCAACACCCCTCAAAAGCGCTTTGGCCCACCCTACACTGTATATACATATATATATATATATATATATATATATATATTATGTTAGGTTATACATACATATATCTAAATATAATACAATTTCACTAACCCCACATCGAAAGACGGGAAGACTTCGCAGGGTCCCGAGTGCTTAGCTCGAAACTCGCCGGGTCAATGCGGCTGAACCTGGGACATGGCAAAGGGGGGAGACAGCTACAGGTTTCATGCTTTGGGGTTTGGGGGGTGTTAAGGTTTTCAGGTTTTTGAGGCTAGCAATTTACGGTTCATGGGCGTGTTAAGGCTGTTAAGTTTCAGGTGTCATAAAGTTTTGATTTTTTTGGCACGTGTTGCCGACTGCAGCTGCTGACGGAGAGCCCGATTGGGCAGGGTTTAGGGTTTAAGGCCCCCGGATCCATGGGTATTTGCAGCTTGGCGACAGCTGCAAATCGACCAGAGTCTGTTGTAGTGCCGTGATCTTCAAAGCCGTAGCTGACAGCGACACCTTGGTTTTGTGCCACGAGCCGCAAAGTCATATTGCAAAGGACTTTGACCCGGGTAAGGGGCAAAGACCCTGCACAGCCGGATGCCTACCAAGAGGATCAAAGAGGCCCGTGTTCACCTCTGCTCCTACTATTGCTCGACTAGCTTTGCAAGCATTGTGCTGATGATAGTTTGCTGTTAAATTGGTTTCAGGTCGTGAGGTAATTTTGCTACTCTCTCTGGTTCTTTGCTTAGCCACGGCAGCTTTCACGTCTGGCTCCAGTCGCGGGATCGAGAATACCAAGTCCAGCTCCTGCCACCAAGCTTGCCCCATTGTGTCAAAGGCCCTGAACCCCTAGGCTTTGCAACCCTTGAGGGTTCAGGGTGTGGGGGTTCAGGCTTTCATTAGGGTTACAGACTGAACCCTTCGCCCGAGACTAAGCCGGGAAAGCGAGCAGCTTCGAGAAGATGGCCTTGTCATCCTGCTGCATGTCCACCAGCTTGCCTGTAGAAGCTTAGGGCTGTAGGGGTCTGTGTCAGGATCACTCACTTTTCGGGATCTCCCAAACGGATTCATCGACAATGCCATACAACTCCGGACTGGGCCTGGATGGCTGATGGGACGGTCGGCCTCCTCTGCGCAAATTTCCTGCAGGGCAATCTTCTGCTAAACAATCTGAGGACACCACACGACTAGGCTTCGCTTTTCGAGATCGCAGCTTCTCAGTTCAGTCAAGCGCCGCGCCCGAGCTGTGGCAGTGAACAACGAAACCAAAGCCGCGACGGGCAGCTCGAGGCAACGGCGCTGCTCCTTCAAGGGCTCAGTTAGCGTTTGGGGTTTGGGGAGCTTAGGGCTCCTTTAACCCTAAGCGGTGGGGCTTCTTTCAGAGGGTGCATGGCTCCTTTCAACAATGCTTGGGTGAAGGGCAACTAAGAGGCTTTGGACGCTTCGAAGCTTCCTTCCAAGCCAACTGCCGCAGTGGGGGACTTCTCCAAAATGCGCGTAGCTCCTGCAATGCATCGGTCTAGGAGCATGGGGTTTAGCATATATTACCTATTACCTATATTAGGGTGGTTGTCGAAACTATGGTCCCTTTTTGGGTCCTGCATGTGATACGGCACCTATATTATTTATGGACCAAAACAGGGACCTTAATTTTGACAACCATCAATATGGCTCTATAGGGCGAGGGGTTGTTGGATTTAGGAGGTCTCAGCAAAGCACTGGGAGAAGGAAGGCTCGCAGCCTCCTCGATCTCCCAGATGTATCCGGGACATGGAGCAGCTTTGCCCAAAGGCTGCCTCCAGGATCTTCTCGCCGACCTCCAGACGCGGCTTCGTCGACTACTGTTCAAAGGTTGGGTATATTCCCATTATGATTACGTTTAAGCTGTTACAACTCATTACTAGCACCATTCTAGTATATTGGTGGTCTCCTGGAATTTCTGAGCTTTCTTTGGCATGCGGCGTAAATCGGGCGAGACGCTTCTCCAAAGTCATTCTCGGACACGTCCAAAGTCTCCAGCACATAAGGATTCACCTGCGACTGGGCGAGTTTCTGCATGCAAAAGGCAAACCCTAAGCCCCAAAGTCCTGAACCAAAAAATCCCTAAACCCTCGGCCCTAAACTGTAACACTTACTATAAGCTCCATACTCTATACATTCTAGGTCCTATAAACCCTGAACCTGAAGGCCCCAAGGTGCACCTCCAGAGCCTCGCCCAGGCAGCTGCAACCTTTGTCCGCTATGGCCTCGTTTCGAAGGGTCCGTGAAGGAGAGCTGGGAATCCCCCAAAAAACGAGCAGCCCTTGTCTAAGCCGCGCGGCGCAGGAACCTTATTTTGGTACAAATACTCCACGGGAAAGAATCTCTACCTATTGTCAGAACCCCGTAGTTTCCACTGTGCTGAGAGGCATTCAGGCGCAGGTTGAGCTCGCACAAGAAGTCGTTGCATCGAAGCCCCGCTGAGAGGCAAGCTGCGGCTTCGCAGCCGAGTCCTGAGAACGGACGAGCTTCGTCTGTGCCCTTCTGGCTACAACGTCAGAGATGCCAAAACCTGCCGCTGCATGCCGCTGCTCTGGCTTGAAGACAACACTAGATTTGCCGTGAACTGGAGTCGCGAGCTCATTCTTTCTCGACCTTTTGTTGCACTGCGCTCCATTGCAGAGTGCGTGTTCTGAAGCAGGTGCATGAACGTAAAGCCCCAGCCAAGTGCCACCAAAAGGCTGTTGTTGGACCTGAGTGCGACAACGGGGCTGCCGGGGCTTTGCACTTTTACCCCATGCTGGAGCACAGTCAGCTTCACGGCTTCTTGCCAACTTGTTGCTGAGCCACAGAGATAGCTTGCACAGCGACTCGGAAACCTGAGAAGGTCCCATCAGGCATCGCCCTGTGCAATTGGAATTCTGTCGCGGCATGGCCTGCAGGAGTTGTCCAAGTGGCTCACCGGCTGCATCCGTCAAGCCGCAGCCTCTGAGGGATTCCAACACTGATTATGTGCAAGCTGATCCTCTCGAAGTTAGTCTTAGCAGTCTTAGGCAGGTGGGGAACCTCTACTGAAGCCCTGGGCCTGAAAGCTGCAGCGATCGAAGAGTTCGGGCAGAACGGCAAAGCGTTGGCATGGCCTGGCCGCAGTTTGCTCTGGAGTGCTCGGGATTTAGGGCTGGGGTCTTGAGAATTAAAGAGCCGTCGTGAAAAAACAAGCAGCTTTCTGTAAGAGTGCGCTGCTACGCCTACACCAGCCCATCTTGAAACCAGCCCTGTTCGTGGTTTACTGGAGTGACACCTGCCCCAACGTCTCAAGCCGTCCCGGGCCGCCAGATGCTGCAAAGATCCGATGAAGTCCCACAATTGACGAGCAGAACCTCGAATAGAAATCGTCCAATCATCGCACCTTGTCGCCAAGATCGTGTAGGCAAAGCTCGGCCAAGTGCTTCTCCTTCCGTGCGGCAGGTGGCTTTCTAGCTCTAGGTTCCCCGGTAGTTACTTCACCGACACTCCTGCTTCAGCGCTTGGAAGAGATCCGCTAAGCAAGCAGCGCTCAACGTCTCACAGAAGTCTACCTGGCAGCATCGTGGCTGAGGCTGCGAAGAGTATCAGCTGCTGCGCAGAGGGCAAAATGAAGAGACGGCGCTCTCATTGCAAAACGGTGCGTGTATGAGAAAGTAGCGGCAGGCTACTGCTCAATTTGCTCAACTCAAGCTCGGGATGTAGAATTGCATGGCACCAGAAAAACGAACAGTGACAGTGACGCGCTGTTTAAATCACAGCAGTGGAAACTGACAACAAACACAGCAGTCAGCCTGAGACACGTCGGAGCGATCGAGCTACCCAAGCAGTGTGGACCAAATCCATCCCACAAACGTACACCGAAGCACAAGCACGATCGTGCCCGAATACAGAAGGAACCTGATTTAAGCGCACCTGCTTGCCTGCCGACCCGGCAGTACCGCTCACTACACTTCGGCAAGCCAAGCAGAGTTAAACCAGCCAGGGTCCACTGAGACATCACGCTGCGGATCTTGAAAGTCGGACAGCCGAAGCTCTTGCCTTCGAAGTCTCTTGGAGCTCATCTCTGGCAGCCCCATGGGCCATCAAGACTCAAGACATGCTTCGTTGATCCGTCTGCTGGGGCGCGCACTTCTTCAGTACCTCTGGTCTGTCCATGTTACGCGCTCGTCACAACTCGGTATAGAGATGCTCTGATCATGGATGATTGGGAATTCCTTTCACTGTATTGCAGAGCTATCAGCGTGACAGTCGCATAGTCTCCTAAGCGGGAGCAGTAACAGTCATCGAGAATGGTGGTACTTAGTGCAGCTAGTCAAGCCGCATCCTCTGCCAGGAGGTCGGCAGCCAGGTCGTTCCATCCCCTCAGCTTGAAGCTGGGCAGCTTCTCCTGATGTCGCACATCACTGCTACGTCGCTATGCTACGCATGGCGCAAATGACAGGGCAAGCTCTTCCTCTCGGGTCCAGCGCACTGCCAAGTCGACCACTTGCGACTCCAGGCTTAATCGAAGACTCGGCATGGCAGCTTGCCGTGGAATTCATCAAGTCAAAGTAATCTCTGTGCTGGATGTAACGATGTATGCCACACAGCAAAGTACGAGTCTCCATCCCCCGGAGCTTTTCCAGCCAATAACATGCTCTAGGCTCAATCATTGTCTTTCAACAGCTGCAGACGTAAACCGTGTCATGAACGGGCTACACCACTGGACCGTTTCCCTAAGACAACAAATCCAGCTGCAAGCAAGCAAACCAGAGGGCAACCGGCCTGCTCGATGGACTGGTAGTATTCCTTGCAGGACCGAAGTCTATGTTTCTCAAGTTTATCTTTCAAGACATTCCTTTCGCAGCTGCATGGAACACACCAACCCTCCCAAACCTGATACCCCAAGCCCAAAAAATCCTTAAAGCAGAAGCCATGGAATCTGGCCTTCAAGCCTAATGCTGACGAACTCCCCTAAACCTTAAAACCCTTAGAGCCTCTCCCCAATCAACCCTAAATACTACAATCATACATACAAAAACAACATCACGTCAACAACCCCCAAGATGTCCCCCCTGGACAAAACAAAAGCAATCACCCTGTCTTCTTCCAGGTCTCGTATTCTGCCAGTCGCGCTTGCTTGCTGAGAACCGTGGCCTGGGCCAAGGCTTGCAGCTCCATGTGCGGTTTGGGTGCAGGGGTTTCGGGTTTTAGGGCTTCAGGGGTTTAGGGTTTAGGTCTTTAAGGTTTCGGGGTCTAGGGCTTGGGGGTTTAAGGTTGAGGGTTTGGGGTTTGTTGCGAGATAACGCATACTGGAAAATCAGCTTCCATACTATCGCATGCTAGTGTAAACGAAAAGCATGGTAGATGCCTCTCGAGTATATGTAGAATACATATGTGTGTAGTACTAATATATGTGTATGCGCATGCCACATCCAGTACCTCATTATCATGCATGTGTGCTCAAATGCAACATAATATCGGTATACGCGCATGCAGCATGTGTGTGCTTCTGCTTTGTCAAATTTGTCAGCCGATCACCCAGCCAGAAGGCTACGCCCGCACCGAGATCTGTACTTGCTGGGCCAGCTTCAGTCGCTCAGCTGTCTTCACGGAGACGGCTTGCAAACAGTCCTGGCAAGCTGGTTGCACATACCAGAATCCCCGAAACCAAAAGCCCTGAACCTGCACAACCCTGAAGCCTAGACCCGAAAGCCCCAACACCCTCTGATCACCTGCCGTCCCGTAGGGGCAGCTGAAGTGCTCGAGTCCCGGCGAACCCAGTCTGGCAGAGCTCCTGTGCTAAGTACTCAGCCTCCGCACAGCGAGAACCGTACCTGGTCGTCTATGAAGCATACGGTATACCGCACCGTTGTTCAAACTACTGTCTTCCATTGGGTTGTATCACCTCATTGTACCATACTATGGTACAGTGTGCTTGCTTTACCAACAGTTCAGGCGAGATGAGAATGCAAGTATCACATAGTTGTTTCTACACCGAACAAGGGAACCGGTACAGGGACTGGCATTTATGACCTGGTAACTGGTATCCCCTTGGCACAGCAACAAGGTGCACTCAGAGCACTATACTGCACTCACCAATCCCCGACAAAGGTCCTACTTCACAACTACTCTGAACTCTAACCCTAACTCGGTTCATCCTGGCGAAAACCGGCCTTCTCGCCAATTTGTCGTGTGCTTTCCGCCTCTCCTGTAGCATACAAAAAGTCTTGATGCAAAGGAAAGCAAGTGTGGCCTCGGGTTTTAGAGAACAGCTTTGCAGTAGCTTTGGGTTTAGGGCGTTCGGATTTAAGCAGGGCGTCCTGGGCATATTTCGTCACAAGCTGCACGTCGGAGTGGATCTTTCTCGACACCTCTGCAGTAGCAGATCGAGCAACACCGCTACCCGCCTGAAACGGAAGCTGCCTCCTTGTGCTGCTTGATGACAGTGTCAAAGCAAACGATGATGTCTTGCTCCAACTCATCAGCCAAAGTGATGGACTGCTCTCCGCGGTTGCGGAAGTTCACCTGCACACGAATGGCGTGTCCCAAACCCTGAAACTCCACCGCACATCGAAGAGTTCATTCGCCGTCCAAGCTGCGATCATCGCATCAACTGCGGTGTGGAGGGGATTGCCTGCTGCGCACAAGAACATGACGTTGTGACAGAGCAGCCCCTAAGCTCCAGAATGAGATGACTTTCTTCCTTCCTTCACTTAGTGAATCCTTCCTTTTTAGCCGTCCTTTCCTGTCCTGCATCTTCTGGTATTGATATTGGGGGAAAGTTTGTTGGCAAACCTTTGGTGATGTTGAAAGACCTGTCGCGTGTTGTTTTGCTGGCTGTTGCACTGGCATCTCAAGCCACCGAGGGATCCAGCCTGTCGGCTTCGGAGCAGGGATATGTCAGGCGACTATGAAAGGAGGCAAGGGACACAACAGTATCATGTGGCTTTAACCCAAAGAGTTGTGCAGCTTGCAAGCATCCGTGTACTGGCTTGGCAACAGTTCAATCCTTGCCGAACCAGCACTAGATTCGCTGTGACATCCAGAATACCCTGGTTCGGCATGCTTCCTACATTGGGCTGCTACCCAAACAAGTCCCTCGCCATGTCATTCAAAGTTCCAGAGTTGACCAAGAAAGCTCTTGTGTGTGGCTGTTGACCTACTGAAGCTGCGGGAACCGGCCTGGCTCAACCTGTAGATCCCCGCCGAAGCCCAGGAGACTCTCGCCATACTTCCTTTCCAACTCTGCTCGGCTTCGCAGAAGATCTGCCACCTTTTGCAGCAAGCCTCAGTTGGCCGTACCCTGCCTCCCAAAGTCCCAAGTCTGCGATAGCTGCCAGCTAATGCAAGCCATGGTGCCCTGCGAAGGCTCGATCCGCTCTCTCCAAAGATAATCAAACCTCGGGCGAACTCGGACCTACAGAAAACACTGAGTTTGCTGCGCTCTTAGCACACCAAGGCGCTTGTCCCACAGGTCCCTGCGGAAGCTCAAGGACTTATCCTCGGGCACCTGCACAATGCTCCAACGCCGCGCAGCAACACAACAAGCGCTGCGCTATAACGAGTTAGCCCAAAATCCTACTAAGGGTGCAGTGGCTCCTTTTTGGATGGTCGAGTCGCATAACATGCGCCCGGCCGAGCACACCGCCCCGAAAGCCGGTGCCGGTGCCGGGGTGCGCACTTCTGCGTCCGCCCCGGACAACCGCCCGGTGGGGCGGGTGACGGCCGTATGTAAGTCACGAAAAGTAAAAGGGGTGGAGTGGGCGGGAACAGAAAAAGCGATCGAGCCGGCGTGCTGCGGTCGATCGCTAGCGCTTGTTCCTACTCGCACGCGTGCGCTACACAACAAGCGCTGCGCTAACGAGTTAGCCCAAAATCCTACTAAGGGTGCAGTGGCTCCTTTTTGGATGGTCGAGTCGCATAACATGCGCCCGGCCGAGCACACCGCCCCGAAAGCCGGTGCCGGTGCCGGGGTGCGCACTTCTGCGTCCGCCCGGCGCACCCACCTCCCACAAGGCGCCGGCACTGGCTACCAAGAAGCAAGGTCTAGCAGCCTCTCAGGAGCCTCGTGGCAGGCGTAGTCGATGTCGGAGGCCGCCCGCCCGAGGATCACCATGACGTCGTCGACCGGTGCCCTAACACGGCACCAGCCTTCCCGGGCCGCTCTCGAGTCGTCGCCCCGAGAGACGGCGTCGGAAACATTGGCGGCGGAGGGGACCCTGTAGAACTCGGGGCACCAAGCCCGATCGGCCGCCAGCCCCAGAAAGAGGCGAGGATGCCGTTCACGGCCGGGTCCCGCCCATATCCTTTCATGAGGGCGAACTGCCCCGCAACATTGTCGATGAAGGCGATCCAATGTTGGGGCAGCCTCCGCGCGAAGGTGATGACGGGGAGCACCTGCGCCAAGATCTCCAACACGTAGATGAAGGCCCGGCGAGACGCGAAGGGCTTGAGGTACTCGGACTTGACGACGCCGAAGTCGTAGAACACCTGGCCCTCGAAGAGGAGCACAAAGCCCCAGCCGTTCTCCCATCTGGCTGAGCGAGGGACCTGCTCCCCCGGATGGAGGTGGCCCACCTTCTTGCGTAAGTCGCCCTCCAGGAAGAAGGCGTCCGCGTAGATGACGGGGACCGGTCCCGTAACCGCCCCCGGCCAAGGTATGAGGCGGGGTTTGGCCGTGGCCACCAGGCGTCGGAGGGCCAGGAGGGCGGAGCGGAGCCCCACCGAGAGGGCGTCGTCGGAGTGGGCCGCCGTGTCGGCCGCCCTGGCGTAGAGCGGCTTGATGGCCGCCCGGCCGGTGCAGCCGAAAACCGACTGGCTGAAAAAGGTGAGTCGCCCGGCCAGCCTGGAAGCCACGTCTGGTTTCATGGCCCCCGTCTCCAGGGCGTGGTCGATCTGCTTGAGGATCTTCTGTGTGCGGTCGGCGGTGGGCCGCAGCTCGACGCCTGCGTCGGCCACCCGCACGGAGACGCCCTGGACAACATGCTCCTGGGCTGGCGGTTGGGCCTTGGACGGCTTGGTCTGGAGACCCAGAAGGGCGAAGAAGTCGGCCAGGGCGAAGTGGGCGGAGTCGGCCTCCGCCTTGTCCTCGACGCCGTTAAAGTCGTCGACGAAATGGCCGAAGAGGACCACGAGCAACGCCCGGGCCAGCATCTGGACGGCGTCAGCCGCCCTGTTGAAATTCCAGACGCTCGCCGCCGCGCCGAAGCACATAGCAAAATGGAACCAAAGAGTGCACTAGCTCCTATATCCCACCACCATCCCCGGAACTCCACCAGGACGATAGTAGTGCGAAAGTAGATAGCTAGCGAGCTAGCCGAGCGACGACCAGACTGACAAGCAACAGCAGCTAGCACGGACGTTCTTTTGTCTGGAGTGGCAACTATCCCAGGTTGCCTGGAGATAACTGATAGCCTTCGGCTATCTATCCCCAGGGTGGGCAGGGTGGGTACTTCAAAATTACCCCCCCTGATGGGGGACTTTATCCAGAATGGCCACGGTCACACACCGTCGTAGCCATTCCAAGTCACTGCTATCCTGTCTTCGCATGTCAGAGGCAACTCTCCTGCGAGCGACGATAGCGAACGAAACTTCGTTTCTAGCGAAGCTACCTTCGATAGCTTCGAGTAGTGATAGGTAAGCTAGCACACATAGTCGTAACTCGTTCCTCGTCACGAGGTACGTGCACTAGCTCCTATATCCCACCACCATCCCCGGAACTCCACCAGGACGATAGTAGTGCGAAAGTAGATAGCTAGCGAGCTAGCCGAGCGACGACCAGACGGACAAGCAACACAGCTAGCACGGACGTTCTTTTGTCTGGAGTGGCAACTATCCCAGGTTGCCTGGAGATAACTGATAGCCTTCGGCTATCTATCCCCACGCATCGCCACTCAGGCTACCAGGGATCTAGCTTTCTGGCCTTACGGCTAAACTTGGACACCCTATCCGGGGTCCCTCGCTTTCGCGTGCCTAGCTCCTGGTAGAAGCTATCTGCATGCGCGAGTAGCCGGCCAAGAACACGCCACTGGAATTCCTCTCCTTTCAGATCTATCCTCTGAGAGGGATCGAATTCCTTGAACTCCTCGTTTGTAAGGTCATCCGCTAGCTGGTTGATGTCTCTCCGTATCCACTGGAGCTGTAGCTCACAGTTTTTCTGGGATAGCTCTTCTGCTATCTCCATTAAAACTAACATGGAGGGATACTTGGTCGTCATAGCCTTCTTCACAAGTGCCTCATTGGACTTGTTATCCGTATAGCCGCGGATGGCCACTCGCGAGGTCTTCCTATCCTCGCCCTCGGGGACCCAGAGACGTATCCCCACGAGGGTCGCTAGCAGTTCTAGCGCAGCTATCACTTTCTTGGGGTCGCCTTTGGCAAAGGCCCACGGAGCCCAGGCCCTATCCACTTCTAGGGAAAACCAGGGACCCGGCTTCCCTCCGGAAATCTCCAGGAAGCCCCGTATCCAGGCCCTATCGGACTCAGCTTTGGCATCCGTGAAAAAGCTCAGTGGAGGTAGCCCGGCGTAGAGAGTCACTGGACGCTGTAGCCTCTCTCCTTGGTCAAGCTTGTCGGCTAGCCACCGCATCAGCACCCGGAGCATCGTCGGAATGATGAGGTAGCCGGACTTCCCTTGAATGGCTGCGCTCCACGCGTGGAGCGGCCCTAAGAAGGGCCTCTGCCAGTCCAAGGCTATCGCGGCAAAGCCCAGCCGACCTAGCCCCTGCTGCATCTCCTTGGCCGTGACCTTGCCGATGGTCACCTTGTCGTTTAGCCACGCCGATAGCCAGGACGCCCGTTTCTTGGACATCCCTAGCCTGTAGGAGGAGTACTCTGTCTCCATTCCCAGCCACTCCACCCTATAGCCACCACGAGTCTTCGCCCACTTGAAAGGATATCCCAGAACAGAGAGGAAAAGGTAGCTCAACGGGATACCCTTCCTCCCCTCCGTTCCTATCCCCAGGGCCTCGAGGTCATCGGCATATAGCAGGAGGTCGATGGGATAGCCGGGGCCCAACAGATGATGGGTTGCCCGTAGCCCACATGCGGCTATCCGGGTCCACCAGTAGCTAGCCGGCGAGAGTCCGAACGTGCCCACCTTGTTGACGTAGACGATCTGGCTATCCGGGTCCCCGGGGATCGTCTCCTCGGTGTCTATCTGGCAGCCCATGAAGCCGTGCTCGCTAGCCTGGTGTTTGTATCTCCGGTGGGCCTTCGAGATATCCCCCACAACCGACAAGGCAATCTCGCCACAGCGTATCAGCTCTCGGAGGATTTGCTTCTTTTCTCTAGCCCCCGGCGCCCGGATCTTATCCCGACAGCGTATCCGGTGGTTAACCCGGACGCCGTGGGTCGCGTCATGGATTATCCGCTTCTTGTCCTTCTCCTCGTCCTCGACTATCACGGCCAGGGAGGCGATAGCCCGGTCCTCGCCGAACCTCGCCTTGAACTCGCCGAGGGTCATTCTCTCCATGAGGCCTTCCTCGACGTCCTCGTCGAACTTAGCCCGCACAAAGTCCCTGTGGTCGCTAACCGAAGAATAATTCGGAACCCATGCTAGCGCCGGCTCCCAAGGGGCGTTGTCTAGCCTCCAAGAGGATTGCTC